GATATGGTCCATTCTCTGCTTCGGGCTATATTGACCACCGCCGAACAACGCCATGTCCAAAGGGGAATTGGAAAGGATATTTTCTCGAACCTTTGTCGTAATAAACTCCAGTCCGCGCACTAAAAATCTAGAAACTAACCTAGAACATACAAGAAGCTGCATTACACTAATATTCGGTTCTGCTTTAACAATAAATCTTCGCCAAGAATACCCGTTAGAAGCGAATGGAAAAGCATAAAGACCCAAACATTAGTTCTGTCTTCAGCGATGCATCTAAATACCAAAGTCGGCGTCCACACGGAACAACTACTACTAAGCATAATCATGCGTCTACCGGCGTACTGTGATGACTTTCAGGCGGATTTAAAATATAAAATAGAACCTCTCCTGTAGCAGAATCCTCGATCACTATCCACTCTGACAGCAAATTAACCCGGCCTATGATGAATCCCTACATGAAGTATTACCCGCAGAGCCAAAAAAAACTTTGCCCAATATTTATTTATAATTCTTTTTATACCGTCATCTGAGGTAATTTTCTGGGAAAAAAAATATTCTTAAAAATAAATTTTATTTACATATATTACAAAAAAAGAATCAATTTTTTAAATCTACATTTTGTATTTAATTGCAATGGAAAAGAGTACGTATGTTTTTCTTTTTGTATTATGGGTAGTAATGCACCCAAATGTACCAACTTTCAAAGGAGAGGGTTTTGAAATGAAGTAATTAGCAAATAGATTTATAGAAAAATATATAATGTCAAACGATCGCACCTTAAAGAAAAACTGTACTTTGCAAATAAAATAATTATTTCCTCCGTTCTCTGAAAATGCAAGCAGAATTGCAATTTTTTAAGAAGACTACACTAATGCTTCGCCTTGCTAAATTAAAACTAATTGTTAAAATGATATGAAGCATTTTCTTTCTGTAAAATTAAATTGAATACATTAAAGGTCCCGTTATATAAATAAAAATATATTTACGAGATGCCTTTACAGCCACGAAGTACTTATCACAAATATAAATGGTAAAAGCTATCAGAGACCAATGAATGCAACTGAGAACCAATAAAAATTATACATAAAAAATACCTATAACTTAAACCTGGCACACGTTTCTAATGGACATTTATGTAAGAGTAAGTGTGTGCGTACGTTCTAGTATAGTATAGGATGTATGTATGTGAGTGCCGCCGATCGACACGCACCGATCACTTTGTAGAACACAGAAAGTTTCTGTTGCGTTGAGCTGCAATGAAGGTATCTAATGATACAGTATTTCTGCCTATATGTATGTATGTATGTATGTAAATATTTTTTACAATTTGCAGTCTTTAGAATTGCCCATCGTTAAAGCGGCACTTAAAAGCTTGTGTATATACCTACCTACATACATATGCAGTTGATCAATTTTATTTTCTTAAATGTATTTTTTTGTGATAGGGCACTTAAAATTCTACAGTTACATATTTATGTATACTACATATGTTTATATGTAAGTACATATAGGTGATTTTTGGATTGTAACCACGTCTCCCTAGCCGTTCTCTTAGGAGTAGGTACAACCCATGCAACACACAATAAAAGCTTTATATGTTAATCTTTAGTTGTAGCAGCAGTGGCAACAGAAATCTACAAATGTGCTAGCTGAATGAATGGCTTAATTGTTGTGCCACAGAATGGCTATTAAAAAATTTAAGGGGGATTGCTTGTATGTATTTAGTATGGATGTGGACGGGTGCCACAACAGATGAACAACGAATGGATACAAGCAACAAAAGTAGTGCAGGGCTGAGTAATAAAAGGGGAATATACTAATACACACTTATGAGTAGATATGTATATGTTCATAATACTTATGTATGTATGCTGTATAAATTGAATTTGATGGATTTATGCATTAACTGTAATTTTGTGCTGCCATTAAAGTTCATTGGTTTCGGGTCAATGATACAACTGTCTGAGCGCGGGATTCTGCAAATTTATGAGTTAATATATATGTAAGGATGTACTAGTATGAAGCATGTTTGATGAGGGTTTGTGTATGGAATTAATATTATTTCACCGCTAATAGAAGTAATGTCCCATACATGGCGGAAGGAGATTAAATGTTATAAATGGATGAGTCCGAAGCCAGGAGTAGACATTGTATAAGACGCTGCATAAAAAAAAATGAGCTTTAGATTATCATCTAATATTTTGACATAATGCATTGTTGTTAGGGTGGTCCTTAAAAATATCAATATCTAAATTTTTGTATGGAGAACCCATTTCTTTTGCTCTAAGTACAAAAGAAAAACATCCACAAAAATTACAAAATTTCATCTGGAATCTGTTAAATTTGACATATTATTTAAACGTATTCATAGTTATTTATAAATTCGCAGAGTTGCAGCTAGTCAAAGTGAAAATTTTGTCGAATTTTTGCGATTTACAAAAAAGTCAAAATTTTCAAACCCTGGTAGCGACCCCAATTTTTTTTTTTTTTTTTGAAATTTTTGTAGAGATCTTTATTTTGTACGTACGTTCAACAAAATAAAGCGGTGCCCGATGAATTTGATATTTTAGGGACCATACTAATACATTCAAACTTGTGTAGACATATAGACTGATTAGTTTTTCTTCTATAAAATCGAATTATAACATCAATCTTTGGTTCTTATCTTTTCAGGTATGTACGCAACAATGCACCCAATTTTACGAGTAGTAATATATATATCATTGGTAAGATAAAATTATACATTCATTATGTATTTGAATTTAACAAAAAAAGGAAGAAAAGTCTTCAATAAAAATAAAATAAAACCGTACTTATGTAAGCGTGTACATTTGCAAATCTAGGCGTTTGTATTTCCGATTAGCTAAACTGACCAAAGCCACAAACAAAAATAATAATCGTATACCAGATATCTGTCATTCTTAAATACCGTCAAGCAGTTTAAAATATCGACTCTAATGCGAACATTTGCTGGTCATTGTACCGCACACAATCATTTAGCATTGAATGCATTGAACTCCAACAGACACTTTCTGGCTTTGTGGCAAAATAAAATTTACTAAGAGGTCTAAAATGACAAAAAGTTAAAAAAAAAAAATTACAGAAAAATTAATCAGAAATATTTATGCATCTTTGAATGCAATGCATAAAATCGCAAATACTACGAGTATATATGTATGTAGTCAGAGCATGCAACAAGAGCCATGACACACAATGCGACCGAGTGGCGCCTGTGTGATGCATTCGAAAAAACAATTGGACACATAAAGACACATAAACATACATAGTATGTATGAGTGTGTATGTAAGAGCTGCAGAAAATGACAAGCTTAACGCATTTGCATTTGTGCCACGCACGCGCACATACATACATACATACATACTTTTGCATTCAAATGCTGACTTACACATAAAAACCATTGACTCCTGAAATATTTTTTTTTTTGTATTTTTGTGTCAGTGATTCAACTAAAAAAGAGCAACATATGGTCAGCTGAATGCAGTTGTTCACAAATAAAAAAAAAAAACCCATATACATACATACATACATAATTATATACATATGTACATACGTACATATGTAGGCGCGCACTTAGTGAAACGAAGAGATTCCATGTTAACTCATTAAAATGCTGCCTGCTGCCTTTAAGTTTTTGCTGCTGCTGCTGACATGGATGATGCATCTGGCTCAACGACTTCATTCAGCTACATAAAACTCATAGCAACATATATATGTACGTATGTATGTAATAGTTTTCTTTTTTAGTAAAAATCATTGTTTTTAATGGGTTATGGATCCCTCAAGGGATTCTTAGTTTCGAGTGTGGAAATTAACATTTTCATCGAACTAAAGAAAAAGAGCAACTGAAAAAATTACTAAATATATATATATTAGGGCGGTCCTTAAATGTAGGAAGCAAATTTGTATATCAGATTTCCTAAGCCTCAACCCCTACGTCGATACTACCGTAGTCGAAAATATCACATATAAATTTTGGCCCCGATTGGAGTCGGTTAAGGCATGGTGGCGCACAGGGGTCAAAATTCAGACTATCCTATGAAGACGTCTTAACCGATTCCAATCGGGACCTAAATTTACAAGTGATATCTTCGACTACGGTAGCATCGATTTTATGTATGAGTTGGCAAAAAAATAAATTTTTTATAGTTTGAGTCTGGATAGAGGAATCTGAACTTTGGCCGCTGTGCGACACGCCTTAACTGTATCCAATCGGGACCAAAATTTGTATGTGATATCGGTGACCGTGGTATTACCGTTTGAAGGGGTGAGACTGAAAAAAATCGTTCATTTGATTTTTAATGAGCACCCTAATGTACATGCATTCATTCATTTATGACTGAGAAAATAGTTGAAGGAAATGAAACCACACCTTCTGCTTAGAGAAAGAACTGAAGTGCTCTGCTTAGCGTCCTGTTGCAGGTAAAAAGGTGCTCCAATAATGTTGAAGACTGCTAAAGAAGCCTCCTTTACTCAAACTGTTTTATGTTTGAGATTGTTCCTTAGTTGGTGCTCGGATATCTCTTAAATAGAATGTCCCTGACACAGTGTGTCTAACACAACTTCGGCTTCCCTAATGAATCCTAACAGGGCCTTGGTAGGCGAATTCTTCGGGTTCGACCACGTCAGCTTTAAAATGGATCAATCTTTGCCTGCCCAACGCCGGTCAGTAACGGATAATATGTTCTGAAGTTTCATCGTCTTCAAGACAATGCCTTGACTCTTTGTTCACACTTAATCAGGGCAAGTGGAATCGCAGTCGGTACCCGGAAAGTAGCCTGATGTCATTCCTATTTTCTAGGATTATATCCTTTATTTTGAAAAGATAGCCGAACAGCCTCGCCTCTCCATGGCCTCTCACCGCACCGCAGTTCTTTGTGTGTTCAGTATTTACCAACTCAGTAATTATGGCTCTGAAAGTTTTTACTCAACTGCTGGTGTGGTGAGTTTGATTTAAGGTGAAAGTCCAATGCATAGTAAATTTCCTTTTGAAAAAAATTCGTTGGCATATTTTATTTTGAAATATTTTACATTGTTCAGAAATATCACTACATTAGTTAGGAGCATTTTATCTGTTCCATACATTCTTGGCTCTTGGCAACCATGGTTATATACTGTGCGTTCTTATTTGTGATTTTGAAAGTGTTTAATTATACATACATACACAAAAATACAACATCCTCAGTTCTTAATTTTTGCTTACTTTGCATTAGAAATATTATTTTATAATAAACATTGAATTCACAAATAGTCTGAAGACTTCTTTTTCTTATTTTAACTTACCAATTTTAATGCGAATGCCTTGAAAATAAAAACTAGATATACTACATTTTTCGTAATTTAAAATGTGGACATATATGCTGGTCATAAGTTTTCGTCCTTCTAAAAGCCGAATATGAAGTCAAGTAAAAAAAAACACAACTTTTAAAAAAATATAAGAATATACGCATGTACGGATATGTATCCTTACGTCTTTGAAATATAAATAAAGTGTAGGTATAGCAGGTAAAAGCGAAAAAAACTGGACAGAAAAAAGTGGCTAGAATTGTCAGGTATATAGGGACCTTTCATGTCCAAAATTTAGTTGCAGTTTTTAAAGTGCCGAAAAGATTATGATCAGTTTTTTTTTATGGAAAAATTTTGTTAAATTTTTGATGCACCAAAAATTCATATTAAGATTTTAAATAAAAATAAGTTTATACCCAGTTTTTAAATGACCAAAAATTACGGCCAGTTTTATATTACCAAAAACTTATCTGCAGTTCTTAAATGAGCAAAATTTTATGCCCCATTTTTATATGACCTAAAACATATGTACATATGTCCAATTACTGAATGAAAAAAATGTATGTCCAGTTATTATATTACCCAAAAAATTTGTCCAGTTTTTAAATTACCAAAACAGTTAGGTCTAGTTTTCTAAATACCAAAATTTTAGGCAAAAGTATTCTCTTGTTTCGATTTATAGTACTGAATAAATTAACAACCATTTTAATTGTCATCAACTTCTCTGCATCCAAAAAAAAAAAAACAAAAATATTTTTTCGCACTGTTAATGTATGTATGCGCGTTTTCTGATTTCATTCATATATATATATAAACATAGGTATTCATTAAACTTTTGCAAATTTTCGATATTTTTGAGAAGACATCCTACAAACTTAGCCTAACTTTGAGCTCCCTACTCCTTATCTTCATTTTTACCTTAGATAATTTTTTTTAATTTCGGTTCCACTAAATTTTAATTTGGCTTGAGTTTTCTTATGCTTTTGCGCATACAAAACTATCGTCGTTGACAATACAAAAGGTCCTAACCAGTAACCATGTTCTGGCAATACTTTTCATAACAAGCATTTGACCAACATTTAAAAAAGACGCAATGTAAATGTAAGTAATTTTTTATAATAGACAGAGGCCAAAACTCCACTACTCCCTTAGTTAGTGGATTTGTCAATTGGGTTGAAAGACGAAAGTCTCATGTGCTGACAAAATAAACTATCCATCGAACCTGCTACTCAGTAGAGATGAGAATTTTTTTCATTACAATGAAGTCTGTCTATGAAATATTTCTAGGACTGCAGACAACTCGAGGAGCAGCGACGTAACGATCGTTGATGCAGCGCTCCATATAAGTATGTACATATGTATCTGTATTATATGTAGTGAGCTGCAAAATTACTCACTCACATGCATTTTGGTTTTAACTTCCACTAATTAAATTTTAAAAACCGTTATTAATTGTTACGAGTACTTTTAATTAAACACTATTTAATTGTGCTTCCGTTCAGCCATTTATAGGTCATCATCTTCTTCGCCATCATCGTCATCATCATCATCATCATCTATGTCTTCCTCATCGAGTTCGTCTTCTTCATTGTCATTCTCATCAGTGCTATCATTTCGTTTCAATAATTTCATACCAGTCTTTATTGGCCCCCCCTTCTTCTGTGCTATTTTACTAGCACTCTTTTTGGGCTTAGACTCTAGCGGTTCGTCGTAGTCCAAATCATCATCTTCGTCATCTAATTCGTCGTCGTCTTCTTCTTCGTCGATCTCGTCATTTTCGGCACCGTCCTCATCACTGTCGTCGCCGTCATTGTGTTTCCGTTTGTTTAGTTTCTGCTGTTCATTCTTCTTCGCTTGCTCTTTGGCTAATTTCGTTAATTCAGCGGTGTTCATAAGTTTTACGCGCCGATTGTTTGGATCTAAGCTTGTTACATTAAGAGTTACAAAATCGGATAAGCGTTTGTCATCCCAACTGGAATACTAAAGATAGGAAATTAGTTAGACTTAAACTTTCGAATAGAACTGAATATAATGAGCCAAATGTGTGCGTTTACTCACCACCGAACTGGACGTGAAGAGTAGCTCTTCTGGTGCGGTCTTAACGCGTATGTATTTCTGCAATAGATTATTATCATCCTTGCGCCATAAACACAATCGATTATTCTTGCAGTAATCCTCGTTCAAATCGCGCTTGTACAACAACAACTCGATCGAATGATGTGCCCCCGACGTTGAAGTGCCCGCAGCTGCTGCTCCGGTGGTGGCTGTGCTTGTTTTCTCTGTGAATTGCTTCTTAGGCGGCAAATTGTTGCCACCACCGGCACCGCCACCGCCACCACCAGCGCCACCCTTCTTTGCGGATGCTGCACCGCCAGCGCCAGCGGCAGCACCAGCACCAGTCGTTGCTTGCGCGTCATAGTCTTCATAATCGTCCAACTCGTCATCACTCAAATCCTCATCCAGATCAGCGCCGTCATCGTCATCAGCATCTTCATCGCTTTCCTCGTAGTTGGCAGGCGCCTTTCGTTTAGTCGCCCCTGCTTGCTGTTTACCACCAGCGCTCGGAGCACCCTTGCGTTTGCGGCCACGCTTAGCTGCATTGCCGCTGCCACTGCCGCCACCGCCGCCACCGCCTCCGCCACCACTGCTACTACACGACCCACCACCACCAGTGGTGCCAGCAGCACGTGCCTGCTTTTGCTTTTTACCATTTTTGTTAGTCGACGATGAAGCGGCTGGACGCCAATCCTCCTCAGAGTCATCATCCTCGCTGTAATCTTCTTCGGAGTCCTCGAAAGTGGTGGTCACCAATTCTGTGCGACTTCGCATTTTGTGGCGCTCAAACGACTGAGTTGCTGAGATGAGAGCCGGGACGCGAGTGTGGGATGATGGTTGGCAACAGCAACCTCAATGTAATAATGTAGATAAGTAAAATCCTGGCAAGAGTGGGTGTAATTGCTCTACTCAGATTTCACAAAATTTCTGTTGGCTTATTTTATTTATGCAAAGTTATAAATTTTTTCTTAACTCCACAAATCGCAGTTCACACACTTCTAAACGCACAGCTGAATTTTGAGTTTATTTCTAAATCAATTTTACAATTAATTTCAGCAAAGAATCAAATGCAAAATATTCCGTTTTCCGTTCGTTTCGTCTACAATTCACTTCAACACTTCGGCTAGACATGAAAATCGTGTAAATGTATTTTTTTCTTATGCAGTTCCTTTTCCTAGTTAGCAAAATCTCTCTCTCGCAATTTGCGCCCGCTGTCTGAGTAGTCGGTACGTATTTATTTCACTTGTTTCCATTGTCATTTGCTTATTTCAAAGCTCAACGCTCAATTGAAGTGTTTGTTTGTTGTTTGCTAGATAACTTCTGCTCATGTGCCTCCTTATCCAGACGTTGCTGGAAATATTAGACGGCGAAACTGCGAGAGCATCCTTGCAAACAAAAATCGCTTGACTTATGGGGGATGATAGCAGTGGCAAGCAGCAGCAAGGATTCTATGCTAAAAGGCTTTGCTTTTCTTAACATCCGTATACACATCAACAAATGTAGGCAAGTGTGTGTTAAGTTTTCGCTCTCTTTCTCCTTCTCTCTTAATAATGGCCTACTAAAGCTTTCCGTTGTCCTGTGCTTTTATAGTAATTATTTGAGTTGCTTCATATTCGATGCAAGAACCATTTTAAAGTTATACAAAATAAAGCTTTCAAAAGCAGCAGAAAATTTCTCAAAAGCTGTCGAACGGCGAAGAAAGTGCAAAGTGTATTCAGGTGTGAAATGTGTAAAGGTATACAAGTATTTGATTTCGTGGCGTATTTAGTAGTTATTATTCCATTCATAAAAAATTCCTGTTTCGAACTGGAACGTTGGAAAAATTCTTCTTATTCAACTTTGGGCAATGTGATGAAAGCGGGATTAGACAATATATATTTCAAGTAGGTAATTAGCTAGCTACTTAATGTAATCTATTTACATACCTATATAAAACTTTGTTAAAACTTAGACCAAAAACTAATAAGGTATTTAAATTTGGACAGTATTTTCCTTATACCCGTCCAAAGTGATAAAGTAAACAAGAGTGTTGTGAAATGGCACACAAACAAATTTGGCTATGAAAAGAAAGTCTTCGAGCAGTTCGAAGGGAACCGCTTTCCTCCGAATTCTTACATCTGACATTGGTATGCCCCTATACAAAGGAGGGTAGGCTATTGAACAAGTAACCCACACCAGGAAATGCTTGAAATGTGAATAAAAATAAGAACTTATTTCCTGAAAAGTTATTTGACTACATTCCAAATGTATCTAAAATTGTGTGTTTGTACCGAATGTACTTTTTAAATTTATTGTACCAACTTTTCCATCACTGTAGCTAATCGAACAGCTGACTGTTTATGAATACAAAAAATTAAATTGTTGTTTGTACTTAATATTAAGCCTCACATAAATTCATGGCAACTCTCAATAAGAAGGAGTTAACTTGCTTTGCAAGCTCAGCAGTTCATTTATAGTCATCGCTCCACTGTATCATCCGACTGTCATATCGTCGCCCTTATGCCAAAAGCACAAATGTGCAAATTTATCAGATTTGAGTTTTTGGGTTGACTTGATTAACCTTTGGTTGATCTATGTTATACCAAATGCCAGGATACGTACGGGTAGACGGCAACCACATATTTTACAATTTCAATTGCATAAATGTAGAGTTAAGTCTCGTAAAAAAATAAAATTTTCAAGCTTGTTTCCCAACATTTCCATTTTTACACATTCATGTTTCTGGCATACGGGCGACGGTATGTCTTAAGAACTTAGTCTTTTATTATTCAAATTTCCCCCAATTTATTGGTGCATGTTTGAAGTAAGCGAAATTCAAAAATGCATCTAATTTAAAAATTTACCTATCGCGTTATTCTCTTTTCGAAGCCGCTGCAAGTTAGGATTAGCTATGTATGTAGTGGACTATTTACACTTACAAGCTTTGTCGCAGCATTTTCACACAAATGCTATGAAAATTATGTAATTTTGCATGCAATTGTAGTGGCTGTCAAATTCAAATTGCGGCTGTTACGCAAAAATTATGCAGCATTTCAATAAAGTATATATGTAGGCGTTTAAACTTTATATAAATATTCGCGGAAATGCGCAAAACATTTTGCATAACTAGTGCAAATTTATAAACATATACATACATATACATATTTACAAATATTTATTTGGCAATATGACAAGTGTCTCGCTATGGTTTCATACATAAGTATTTACATCGATCGCCTTACCCGCTGCCATTTACCTGCTTGCCTGAACGCAATTTTATGAAATACGATCCTTTTTAGGGGCGGACATGACAAATTTGTGCGACTGGCATGCCATTTCTTTTTATTTCTATTGTAGAGTTTTGAAAATATTTATTATTTACTAAAGTGCGTGGGAAGTCGTCCTGCAAGTGACTGGCGAATATCATGTTGCACGACAAATGTTTATGCGGCTCATTACTTACAAATATACTTATGGAAAATTTTTGTCTAAAAATATAGTTCATTTGTAAGTACATACATATTTTTACTAACAGGAAATAAACAAAGCCAATATTTCGTGAAAGTACGGCTTATGGGAATTTTAGTTACCTTTTAAATGCTTTGTAATGTGTTGTAATTTTTACTCTAGCGAAAAAGTAGAGAATGAGCACAGCTCTAAAAGTAAAAAAAAAAAAACTCTTTCAAGCTTTGTATACATTTAATATCCAAATTTTATGGGTTTTGGACATAAAATTTTTTTAATTTTGGTTAATCTATACTGACATTGTAAATAACAATTACAGTGCCTCGATGGTCACCAGTCCAGAGTGGCATGGAAATTCAGTTGCATTGCAACAGGGTGCCGGATCCAAACTGCTGCAGAGGTTGAGATAGGCTTCGAACCCCTTCCTAGGTGGTTAGTGTGTCCATTCCAATTGGTACCGATAATGCCAGCTTGTTCGGGGCGCTGATCCGCTGTGCTTTTAAGTACGTTGAGGTTAGCCTGTCGTCGGCAGGTACCAACGCTAAACACCTACAGACGCTGTCCAACTGGCATGTCACGGGGAAGCCGAGTCAATTTTAAACTTTTCAGTTTTAGGCTGATTTTGGACAGACTTTAGTAAAGAAAACTTATTCAGCAGCAAAATAGTTGTTGATTTATTTTGTATACAGAACGAAGAATTACACATTGCCGAAACCGGTTTGTCTCCAAACGAGACTTGACAAGGGATAACGGAAATTCGTTCCCAAATCAAAATGTTTCCACTCTGTCGGAAAAATCAACCAACCAGCTGTTTGTTGTTGTTGTTATTGCTACATTGTTCCATTGTCAGGGTCTCTCTTAGTTCTTCGAAAAAAAGTTCGAAATTGGCGCCAATGCAAGGTCTACTCAGCCTCTTAATATTGATGGCAAATGAGCTGACCATCGCCACATGCAAACTTTTCCACTGAAAGTAGACCACAGACATATTTGAAATCACTATTATTTAGAAACTGCATTTGCAATTATTATTTTTATTTTTTTTTTACTACTAAGTAGACTATGTACGCACGTACATACATACATGTGATCTCTACATTAGCATGAATATGCAAAAACTTTCAATGCTGGTCGCAATTTTGCACTTCTCGCTTGGTTGCAACATTTAATGTTGCATGACTATGTGCTGTGTACATATGTATGTATTCCGCGTGCAGTGTCTTATTTTTATTTTTGTTTTTTCTATGAACGAGATTTGAATCTTTCAATTAGCAAAGCGCGAAAAATAAATATGCAAATGAAGTTAACGCTGCTGCTACTCGCTTTACACAAGCAACAGGCTTACATATATAGCGATTTAAATTGAAAATAAGTAAAAAAAAAAAAAGAATATTATTAAACTGGAAATGGGAACAACATGCAAATTCAATTGAATTGATTGATCGGCGCATTTTGCCGCGCTGAGTGGTAACGACGCGCGTGATGGCATGCAAAGAATGCAGCTGACACAGCGAGAATGTTGACAACAATGAGGATGTTGCCCGTACTCATGAGAACATTGCTGAAGCGGGGATGTGTGTGTGTGGAGTTAATGTGGCTGCCGCTGCTGCAGTGCCGTGCAGTGACAAACACTTCCTCATTAAATTCGAAAAGGCCAAGAATGCAATGGCAAACAAAAATTTCAGCAACGAAAAAAAAATCCAAAATGAGCACGAAATTGAAAAGCCTAATAATAGCAACCAGAGCAAGAACAACAAAAGAAAAAGCAAAAAAAAAACTATAATGCGACATATTACAGTGTCACACATGGCTTGCGCATTTAGAGTGCCAAGTGAAATAAATTGCCAACGCTTAAAATTAATGAATACAAAACCAAAAAAATCGAAAACAAAAAACAATTGCGTTACGAAAATGCAATAACTGCACAAAAATTACCGAACGCAGCCAGTGATTAATGGCGGGCACTGATTGCTGCGTACAGTCGACAAAAAAAAAAAACAAAAAACTGAACAACCATTCAAGCGGACCGACAAACTCATTCACCAATTGAGTGATCGATGTGGGTATGGCAAAAACTAGGGCTCCAGCTGGTCGGTGGTGGGGTCGGCGGCTAACAGTGGAATGTCGCAGCTGTTTTGCACTAAAGTGCACAACCAGAAATGCACTTGACTGAGCTGGCTGTTATACTTCCGTGCAGAGTAGTTCAGCTACAATTTCGCGGAAAATAAGAATACTCATTACGAATTGCATTTTTAGGGGCGTGACAAGCGAAACAGAGAAAATAAAAAAATTACAAATTACATGCTATCTACATACGTAGAAGCATGATGGTACTTAAAAGCTGAAGATGAAATTAATTTGTTTGCTTCTTTCTGCATCTCAACACTCGAAACTAAAAGCTTGAGAATTCCCTCTCCACTTTCCCATATTCATACTTTCGTTCCATTTTTGTTCAGCGCAAACTAACATAACCCAAAAGAAAAACAGCATTACAACCAATTTGAGAACCTGTCGACGTTGCCATTCAGCCATTCAGCCATTCAGACATTCACATTCGAAATGTAATCGCTGCGCATGCGTGCAATATTTATGTGGTACCGTAATGGTAGTGCAAACAGTGCTACAGCGTTTTAGGCCCAAATTAACTAGGTCATGGGTAGTATCGCAAATAGTGAGCCGACGAGACGACACATTAAGTTCCTCTTCTCACTCCCAAAGCCCAAAGCCAATCCGGGGACAGAGGAAATAAATACCAACAAATAAATAAAAATTTACGTGATGAGGCATGCAATGATGAATGCACTTAACTGCCCCAAAGACACACATTCGTCGTCGATGAAGAATGCACTGCACTGCATGAAGACGAATGCATATAAACGTACAGTTAGTTGGTGGTGTGTATGTGTGTGTGTGTGCTCCTCACTTTGGTAATTTAGTTTTGAATGAAGAAAGTCAATAAA